GTATAAGGTCTCACGCTCGGCAGACGCGCTGGGCACCTGCAGGTGGGTCCATGGCACGTGGTGTCGGGAGGCCCGACTTGTCCGCTGGGGACTCGGCAACCTCTGTAGCCGCCGTGCGTCGGGCGCTCCTGCTGAGGTCAGGATGCTGCTGCCGAGCGGGTTAGGCGCCATAGTCCCTGCGGTCTGGCGTGCGGATTTCAGATTCTTTAGGCTTACGCCCCACCGCCGACCCCTTGTTTTTTTTTGGAGGCAATCTTGGACGTCTTGGGGGCGTCATGGCCCGACTTTATCCCCCGCATTCCTATCGTCGTCGTCTTTGCTCCTCCTCCCAGTAGTCGGCCCATCCCGCCACCGTGCCTGAGTTGTGGTTCAGAGGCCTCTCAGATATTCGTTGGGATCTCGTGGGAAGCCTCTCGGGGGCCTGCTGGAGGCAGTTTGGAGGCACCTGGGGAGCTGTTTTGGGGCTTATTGTTGTATTTTTTGGGCCTCTTGGGGGCATCTTGGGGCCTCTTGGGGGTCTCTTGGGGCCTCCTGGTGGCTTTTTGGGGCGGAGAGCTGGTTTTTTCGCTTCGTGATCTCCCTCTGGGGCCCCTCTTGGGCTGGCCTTGGGGCTCTCTTGGGGCCTTCTTGGGCTGTCTTGAGGCTCTTTTGGGCCGTCTTGGGGTCCTCTTGGGCCGTCTTGGGCCTGCTTGGGCCGTCTTGGAGGCTTCTTGGGCCGTCTTGGGGCGGTCTTGGGGGCCTCTTGGGCCGTCTTCGAGCGTCGGAAGCCCGAAAAGGTGAGAAAGCCAAAAACATTGAAAAAAACCAATGAGAATCAACGATTCTCGCCTTTTGGGGCTTCTTGGGAGGCCTCTTGGAAGCCTCTTGGGGCGTCTTGGAGGCATCTTGGGGCGTCTGGAAGCCATTTTGAGCGTCTTCGAACGATTTTTCGGCGTCTCGGGGCCCTCGCGGGGTGTCTGGGAGGCTTCTTGGGGCCTTCTTGGCCCGTCTTTGGGCCCTCTTGGGCCCGGAAAAGCCACGCGACGCGCTCGTGGTGGGCACCCCCCCCCGTCCAAATCGACCGGACCAGGTTCCCGGGGGAGGGGTTTGGGGAGGGGGAAGCATCTCGCACGCCGATGATCTCGGAACATCATCGAGCGGCGAAAGGAGCTAAAGTGGCGTGCAGAAGCTGCGAGGAACTCGGGTTCGCAGCGCGCAGTTGCCAGGCTTATCAGTGCAGCGGCGCGTGCAAGAGAGGACTACCAAAGTCGGCGTTCCCCGACCCGCACAATGTCCCGCGCGACGCAAAGAAGGGCACCCTAAAGTGCAAGACGCGCAAATGATGCCCAATCGGTTGCGCGTACTGGGCAGAAAAGGGAGGACGGGAAGAGGAGGATGGGGGATGAGGCGGAAAACGGGAGGGCGAAGCATCGGTGAGGATGAGCTGAAGCGGGGCAGGAAGAGGAGGAGGGGAACGAGGAGGAAGTGTAGGAGGAGGAAGAGGAGGAGGAGGGGGACACTGAGATGAGGCTCCAGGTTATGGGGCTGGGCGCGACTAGAAAAACTGGTGTGTTCGGAGATGTCCGTTGGGATCTTGCGGGGGGGCTTCTTGCGGGCCTCTTGGAGCAGTTTCGAAGGCTCTTGGGGGCAGTTTTGGGGCCTCTTTGTGGCTTCTTGGGCGCCTCTTGGAACGTCTTGGGGGCCTCTTGGGGTGTTCTTGGGGCCTCTTTGGGGCTTCTTGGGGCCTCCTGGGGGCCTTGGGGCGTGAGGCTGGGTTTTCCGGTGCGTGGTCTCTCTCTGGAGCCCCTCTTGGGCCCGTCTCCGGGAGGTTCTTGGGCCGTCTTGGGCGGCTCTTGGGCCGTCTGGGGGCTGTCTTGGGCCGCCTTGGGCGGCTCTTGGGCCGTCTGGGGGCTCTCTTGGGCCGTCTTGGGGGCGTCGTGGGGGCCTCTTGTGCCGTCTTGGAGCAGTCATGGGAGCTTCTTGGGCTGTCTTGGAGCGTCGGAAGGCCGAAAAGGCGAAAATGACGAAAACGTAGAAAAAACAAATGAAAATCAACGATTTTGGCTTCTTGGGGCGCTCCTCGGGGGCCTCTTGGAGGTCTCTTGGGGCGTCTTGGAGGTCTCTTCGGGCGTCTTGGAGCCCTCGTGGGGCGTCTTGGAAGCCTCTTGGGGCTTCTTGGGCGCTTCTTAGGGCGTCTAGGCGGTCTCTTGGGGCGTCTGGGGGCCTCTTGGAACGTCTGGGAGGCCTCTTGGGGCCTTCTTGGCCCGTATTTGGGCCTTTTTGGGCCCAGAAGAGCGTCGTGAGTCGCTCGTGGTCGCCCCCCCCCCCCCCCCCTTCCAAATCGACCGGACCGGGTCCCCGGGGGAGGGGTTTGGGGAGGGGGGGGCATCTCACACGCCGATGACCCAAGGGATCGGCGGATTATCTCGACGCCCTGCTGAATCACCTGTGGTTCGGCCCCTTTGTCGCCGAGGATTGCCACCAGGGCTTCTTTTACCTTTTCGGCTCGCTGCGCCACGTGCGGAAGCCGTTCCTTGCGGTGGCGCTGAGAGCCTTCTTGGAGCCGTTCCACGTCGCGGCGGGCTACGTGCCTGCCGCTGGCCCCACGGGCCGCCGCGCCGCCCGTGGATCCGCTCGCTCGCTCCTGCTAAATGCTTGCTCCTCCTCCCCATCCTCCTCCCTCGCTGCGCCTCTCCTGAGGCGTTCTTCCAGGTGGGGCTCCTTGGCCCACCCTGGCGAGCCACCCTGCAGGGGGAGTACCCACGCGCCACTGCAGGGATAGGTCTTACGGCCTGGCTCGCTGAGGGGGCGGGCATCACTCGGTACCCTTGGAGGCCCGCAGTGCTCGCTTTGGGGGTGGCGTGCCTCTGGTCCTTCTTGGGAGGGTACCCGATCCTGGAGCCTTCGTAGGCCCTAGGCGCTGGCCTGGCCCTGGTCAGGTGTCGCTCGTAGGCAGAGATGCTGGAGGCAGGCAGTCGCTCTCCCCTCAGGCTTGCTCTTGCTCCTCCTCCTCCTCCTCCTCCTCATCCGCCCCCTCCTCCTCCTCCTCCTGCCTCCCCCCTGCCTTGTGCCCAGGGGGCCTCGCTTTCCTGGGTCCCTGTGTGTGTGTGTGTGCGTGTGTGTGTGTGTGTGTGTGTGTGTGTGTGTGTGTGTGTGTGTGTGCGTGTGAGTGTGTGCGCGTGTGCGTGCGTGCGTGCGTGTGTGCGTGTGTGTGTGTTGTGTGTGTGTAGTGTGTGTGTGTGTGTGTGCGTGTGCGTGTGTGTGTGTGTGTGTGTGTGTGTGTGTGTGTGTGTGTGTGTGTGTGTGTGTGTGTGTGTGTGGTGTGTGTGTGTGTGTGTGTGTGTGTGTGTGTGTGTGTGTGTGTGTGTGTGTGTGTGTGTGTGTGTGTGTGTGTGTGTGTGTGTGTGTGTGTGTGTGTGTGTGTGTGTGTGTGTGTGTGTGTGTGTGTGTGTGTGTGTGTGTGTGTGTGTGTGTGTGTGTGTGTGTGTGTGTGTGTGAGTGTGCGTGTGTGTGTGTGAGAGTGTGGGTAGCGTTCCCCGCTGAGTAAATTGCGAGGCAATCTCACGGTTTCGGACATGGTCCCGTAGGGGGTGCACGGTGGCCGCCCAAGGGTTGGGGCGAGAACCGCATTGTGGAAACATCATGCCCTCCATCCTTCTAGCTGCACAAGGTTTTCGGTGCTGAGGCGAGATCCGCAATTTGACCGCCCCTCGTGTCCGGGCAGCTGTCCGGGGCGCCCTCTGAGAGCCCAGACAGGTTTAGGCAACTCATCTGGGGTCATTGGGAGCTCATTGGGGTTTCATTGGACACCTCATTGCGCACGGCGTGCACTGGGGTCGCCCAATCCACTTAGGTCTTCCGTCAGGAGAAGGGGGAGGCTGAGGTCCTCCGCTCGGTGTTCTTCGAAATTCGGGCTCGAGGAACCACTTGAGAGACTCAGCGCGGGTGCGCTGCAGACCCCCCAAGTTGCGGCGCCTGCGGTGCCATGGAAGACGCGAGCGATCGGCACGCCCCGTTCTCGGGGCCTAGCCGCAGCTTGCGGGAGGAGGACTTCAAACCGTTCTCTGGGGCTTATCACAAGTTGGGGAAGCAGGACCAGATTCTGTCGCCGTTGAGGGGCCCCAGCAGCGCCAAGAAGTTCCAGAGCGGGGACTATGTCGACGCCTTCCTATTCGACAACCCCGAGGCCCTCGCCCGTCTGATCGCGCAGAGCGAGGGCCGCGACTCGGCTGGCGCGAGCGGCTCGGCTGGCGCGAGCGGCTCGGCTGGCGCGAGCGGCTCGGCGGGGCTCATTGAGCTCGACACCGACGACGACGACGCCGCGCCTGCGCCTGCGCCCACTCGCGCGCCCGAGTTGCCCGTCCTCTCGCACGATATGGCCGAGCAGAGGCGCGATACTCCCACCCAGAGAGAAGACTGTTACGCAAACGCAAATGTCCCTCTGAGCCCCCGCCTTCCTTTCAGTTTTCTCGACCGCTCTCTCGCCCCCTCATCATTCGTAGTGCCCTGCCTCGGTCCGAGTCTCGGTGGTGACCGCCCTTCCCCATGATCCCTCCCTGGCCCTCCTATTGCCCCCATCGCTCCTCTGCCGCCCATCTGAGGATGGCCCCTATACTTGGGACTGCATCTTCTGCGGGAACACGAACATGATGGCCCTGAATAAGTGCCAGATGTGCGACAATGATCTCTTCGACAAATCGGGATGGGAGGAGCGCAGGGAGAGAGCGGGGGAGGAGGAAAGGATGGGGGGAGAAGGGCCTTGCCATCCTCGCTCTCCTGCCTCCCTTTACCCTTCGCCCCATCTCCCTCCTCGTGCACCTTGAGCCCCCTCACCGTTCAGCCCGATCCCTTTCTTTTCCAGGCAGCTGTCCGGGGCGCCCTCTGAGAGCCAGGTTTAGGCAGCTCATCTGGGGTCATTGGAAGCTCACTGGGGTTTCATTGGGCACATCATTGTGCACGGCTTGTATTGAGGTCGTAGTCAGTCCCAGCCCCTAGTCCGCATCCCCGCCCTCCGCCGCCAGGGGCGGGAGCTGTCCACGGAGGACTCGAGCGCGGTGCCTGAGATGATCGAGCGCGAACTGCGGGCTCAGCGCATGGACAGGCTGGAGAGGGCGGTCGGGGGCGAGATTAGGCTGCAGGGCATCGCTTGCGCCCAAGTTCCCATCGCGAACGAGGAGGGGGCCCGCCACGCCCGCCAGGGCGAGGGCGGCCTCTTTCAGGCCATGGAGGTCGACGAGGACGGCCGCCGCTACGGGCCAGACGGCCAGGCCATGGAGGGCCAGGTGGACGAGGTCGCCGCCAGCCAGGCCGAGGAGGCCCAGATGGACGAGGGCGCCGCCAGCCAGGCCATGGAGGGCGAGGTGGGCGAGGTCGCCGCCAGCCAGGCCATGGACGAGGTCGCCGCCAGCCAGGCCATGGACGAGGTCGCCGCCAGCCAGGCCATGGAGGGCGAGGCGGGCGAGGTCGCCGCCAGCCAGGCCATGGAGGGCCAGGTGGGCATGGGCGGCGAGGACGCTGACACAGAGCTGAGGGGCCCGACAGCGTCGGCGTCGGAGGACAAGGTCGAGGCCACGGTCCCTGCTGGCGACGAGGAGGTGCAATTGGCCAGGGACATGGAGCGCTCCGCGACGGGGGCGGCTGAGGAGCTCATGACGGGGACTTCTATGGGCGGAGGGTTGCAGTCCCTGCAGTCACGCTTGGAGCGTCGTGCATGCTCGGCTTGGGGGCCAGGTCTAAGGCCATGGCGAGGCCACCGCAACAGCAGCCCGATATCGACGCTGGCGAGTTTGTGCCGCACCAGGTCCAGGAGGATGGGGCCACCGCGGGCGCGCCGCCAGCCCCGTTGGCTGAGGACGCGCCGCCAGGCCCGTCAGCTGCGGCGGCGACGCGCGCCCAGTCAGACAAGCCGACATCGGCACCAGTGAACGTCATGGACGAGAAGATCCGAGTCCAGGTGGAGGCGGCGAGGAAGCTGCTCGCGTCCAGCGTGCAGTGCCAGATGAAGATGAGCGAATGGAGCAGCCGCTACGGTGGGGCCGTCATCAAGACGCTCCTTGAGCAGCAGTTCAATGGGCAGCCGGAGGGCATGCTCAGCGCCCAGGCGATCCTGAACCTTCTCGACGCGGTGGCCCAAAAGGAGGGCGGAGCCCTTCTCGACGCGGAGAGCTCGGCAGAAGATGTCGCCCGTCCCCCCCGCGAGGGCAAGGCGGCAGTGGGCGGGCTCCCGCCGCTCCCGAGGGGAGACTCAGAGCTCGTCCTCGCGCCAGGGGCCGCGAAGAGCTTGGAGTCGAGGCTCAGCGAGATCGCGGCGAAGCGCACCCTGTCCGAGGCGCAGGGCAACATAAAGAGCGTCCCCGCTGAGGTCTTGGCCCAGATCGAGCAGCTGCAGACTGGGATTAACGAAGGCCTCAAGGCGAGGAGCAACGTCTACCAGCAGTTTGGCAGGTGGCTGGCGCAGAAGATCAAGCAGGATCCGAAGTTCGCTGAGGACTGGGATGCGAAGGCAGCAGACGACCGCCGCGACAACAGGACCGAGTGGGCTCAGAGGAAGCTGACGGAGCTCAAGCGCAAGTACATCCACAAGCGCGCGTGCAAGATGGTGGACGAGAGCGTCGGGACCTACTTCTCGTTCTCCCGCATCGTCGTGGGCCGAGGGGGAGGAGGAGGAGGGGGGGGAGGGGGGGGAATAGTAGGAGGGAGAGGAGGGGGGGACTGGGGAGGAGGAGGAGGAGGACGACGACGATGCCGCCAGGGGGAGGGCGGTCACCGCGACGAGGAGAACGCGACCGCCGCGCGGCGGTACTGCGAGGCGCGCATCGCCATGGGCGGCGAGTGGCTGACGTACTGCTCGCTCACGCAGCGCGCGAAGTTCTTCTACGTCTCGCCCCAGCGCCGCGAGGTGATGGAGATGAGCTGGTCCGAGCACATCGAGAACGAGGAGAAAGGCGATGAGGGCGCCGAGCCCGCCGCGGCGGCTTCCGGCACAGCCTCCGGCGCCGCGGCTGCTGCGCCAGCTGCCGGCGCAGCCGTCCGCCTCCAGCCCCCCGAGGATCATGCCGCTGCCGCGACGAAGAGGGAGGCCCCTGAAGAGGGCGGGGCCGAGCAGCCCAACGCCAAGAGGGGGCGGCGGGGGAGGGCCGCCACTGACGGTGCCGACCCCCGCGCGGAGATCACGCCAGAGCAGGCCGCCGCGAAGGAGGCCAAGAAGAAGGTGGCGACGGCTGAGCAGGCCGCCAAGAAGATGCTGTCGCAGTTCCAGCAGCTCACGCAGTCGGTGGACACCATCAAGCACTGCATGGCTGCGATGCCCGAGTGGAAGCGGCTCAAGGACCACAAGAAGAACATGGACGACCTCGGTGCCGTGGAGAAGGCCGTTGCCTACAGCCGCACGGACCTCTTCAACCGCATTATGAGCGAGGAGATGAAGATGATCAAGAAGGACTACGCCGACGCCGACATTGTCAGGGACTTCAATCAGATCGTGACGAAGACCGCAGGGGTGGCATTGTGGGGCAGCATGCCGTGTTTGAGTGTGTGTGTGCGTGTTGTCATGCTGTAATGGGTCCGTGGCTGCAGTGGTGTAGCGTGCGCAACAAAGATTGGCCTCCTCCTCCTCCTCCTCCTCCTCCTCCTCCTCCTCCTCCTCCCCCCTCCTGCTGCACCGTTCCTCATCCTCCAGCTCGCGCCCTCCCTCTTCTCCACTACCTCGCCCCGCTGAGACAGGGAGAGAGGGAGAGATGAAGAGAGATAGAGAGAGATTGGGGGCAGGATGAAGACGCCCATCGCCAACCTGAAGTCCTGGCACACGAAAGTGATGCAGAACCACGCGCTGGAGAAGAAGCACGCTACTCAGGTCTAAGCGTCTCCCTGTGGGGAAGGGCGCGAGGGGGCAGCGCGGCGCGGGTTCAAGCTGCAGGGTTAGCAGCAGCTGCGGGCAAGGCCAGAACGCGCTGAGCAATGAGGGATCGGTTGGATACACCGCACTCACATCTATACCCCTGTGTGGGTGCATGCGCGGCCGTTTTTGCGTTGTCATGTGCGCGCATGTGCGCGGCATGTGCCGATCATGTGCCAGGCCTGTGCGGCCCTTCTTGGATGGACTTCCTACTGTGCACGTCGTGCCCGGGCATGTGCGGGGGCATGTGCGCTGTGTTTTGGCGTATCCATCATACGCACATGCACGCGCAGTCCGACGCGCATGCGCGCACATGCCTGCACATGCGGGAGGTATTCGAGAATCGCAGATCTGTCATCGGCACATGCACGCACATGCCTGCGCAACCTGTCTTCGGGAGGCCGCGCGGGCCCGCACATGCGCGCGCATGCGGTGAGGCGCGCGGGCGCACATGCGTGCACATCCCAATGCGCATGCACGCTCATGCCCTAGGAGCTGTCTGGGACCCCTGTGCCTCCAATGCCTCCTGGCCTTCGCAGAGCTAACCTGGGGCGTGCCAGGGCTTCCTGAAAGAGTTTGTTGTGCGTTTAGACTCGCCCGCTGCTGGCGGGGGTGGTTCTTCGCCTGGTTCGTGAGCTGGCGGTGGAGTGCCCTCCTAGTAAAATACTCTCCCGCGCGCCTTCTCAGCTCGGCCGGAGAAGCAGGGGTGGGGGGGGGGAGGTGGAGGGGGGGGGAGGGGGGGGGCGGAGGAGGCGGGCGCCCCCGGCTCGGCCGGCCCGCCCGCCTGTTCGGCTCGGCCAGAGGAGGAGGAGGAGGAGGAGGAGGAGGAGGAGGAGGAGGAGGAGGAGGAGGAGGAGGAGGAGGAGGAGGAGGAGGAGGTGAGAGTTGCGAGGATGTCTCAGGCGAAAGTGGCTTGACGGCCCGAGCTCAGGGAATCTCGGAATCGCTGGCCTGGCTCGGCCACTGGCGAGCTCGGCCTGTGCGAATACTGTGCGTACCTGTGCGGGGCATGTGCGGGACGCGCAAGAATGCCGGGGCCGACGTTCGTCTCTGGGCGCCGGCGCATTCGCGTCCGCGCGCAAGCCGCGCGCGGACGCAGCGTTCGCTTCATTGCGCGGCCCCGACAGACGGGGCGCCCCGCTCACGCTCCGCACAGGCGCGGCTAGTGTCTCGGCCTTTTCCGCCTGAGACCCTCGCAACTCTGGGTTCCGAGATGCCCTGATCAGGTGGTCAGGCCACTCCTGCCTGAGACATCCTCGCAACTCTGGGTTCCGAGACGCCCTGGGCTGAGGTGGTCAGACCACTCTCGCCAGAGACATCCTCGCAACTCTGACGTCAGAGATCTCTTGCCCCATGGAGGTCAGGCCACTTTCGCCTAAGACATCCTCGCAACTCAGACCTCGGAGGTGTCCTGCCCCATGGCCCATGGTGGTCTGGTCACCTTGGCCAGCGACATCCTCGCCACTCTGGTTTCCAAGATGCCCTGCCCCATGGTGGTCCTGCCACGCTTGCCTGAGACACCCTCGCAACTCTGGGTTGCGAAATGCCCCGAGCTCAGGTGTTCAGGCCACTATCGCCTGCGACATCTCTGCGGCATGTGCGGGCATGTGCGTCTACATGTGCGTCTATGCTTTCACAGGTTTGCTTGGCCGTGCATTCGACTGTGCGTCCGACGGTGTGGCATGTGCGCGCACGTGCGGCAATGCTGTTGAGGCTTTTGCATATGCGCGTGGGCATGTGCATGCGACTGCGCGGCGTGCGCCTGCATGTGCGGCCCCTTCCGGACCGCAATTTCAAAGTGAGCACTATAGAAGTGAGCGCTATAGAAGTGAGTCCGGTGTAGCCCCAATCCTCCTCGCCCTCCTCCTCCTTCTGCTCTTCCCCCCCCTCCTATTCCTCCTTTTCCTCCTCCTCGGCCCATTCACCTCGTGCTTCTCCCGCTCCTCCCCTCCGACCTCCTCCCGCTTGGGGCATCAGGGCCCGCCAGGTCCTGCGAGGCCATTTCCGCGGGCTCCCTCACCGATGTTTGCGATTTCCCGAGGGGGGGCGCCCGATGAGTCACCCGATGAGCGCCCCCCCGATGAGCTACCCGATGAGCCTCACCAAACCATGTGTTTTCACAGCTAAAGTGCACCTCATCGCGCCCGGTCAGCGCCCCGATGACTCGATGAGTCACCCGATGAGCCCCGATGAGCCCCCAGGACCGCCCCCCGATGAGCCCCCCGGGGGCTCCGCAGCTCAGAAATTCAACTGGGGTCGCCCCAGAGGAGGCGATGGGCCCTCACAGGTGAAGATAGCTCAGCGATTCCGGCATGCCACCCCTTCTTCGCCCCGCCCGCTGCCGCTGGCCAACGCGAGCCCGTCGTTGCATCGAGAGCGTTCCTGCTGAGAAGGGCCGAGGTGGGAATGCGGGAAGGCGATGGGAGGGGGGGGGGAGTTGAGCCCGCGCGCAAGCAGGAACATGGGGGCTCTCAGCGCACGGCGGCAGTTTAAATCGCGGGCGGCAGCGGGTTCTTTTGATTCCAGCCCGATTGGGCTGGCACGAGGCACTTGGAAACGAGATGGGCGCGGCGACGCTGTGCTCGACAGAAACAGTTAGCGACCCCCGCCCTTTGCTCGCGCTCGGAGGCGAGAATGCATTGGGGGAGAAGGAGGGAGGAGGGGATGTGGAGGGATCACGTGGTGATGAGGATGAGGATGCTGAATACGAGCGAGGGCGGATATGAGTATGGTGAGGGTTGATGAGACGAGATAATGATGCATGAGTGTGATGGCAGATGACATGATCGCTCGTGTGAAGCATCGATCCTGGTAAGATGCGGCATTAACGCTGGCGCCCCACATGAGTAGCAGCGCCTGCCATCGCCGTCCAGCGAGATCTTTGGCCCGAGACCGATCGCATTCCCATCCGCGCTCATGGGGCCTGGCCATGTACCTCCGCCACCCCCTCCGCATCCAGAGACCCGAGGCCGCAAACGGAAAGGTCCTGCGGAGCCAGCGCCGCGCCCTTGGGACGAGGAGACCGATAGTGAGTGCGATTCCGATGAGCCTCGCGACCCAGAAGCTGGGATGTCTTTCATCAACGAACTGATCGAAATGTACCTCCTTGGGAAGCCAATGAATGCTCGTCACATGAGCGTCCTCTGCCATTTCGCCTGGAAAAATGCGGCCTGCTAGAAGCAAAGCCATATGCGGTCGACCCAGAGTCCAAAGGTCGCAACCACCAGCGTAAAATAGATAAAGCATTGAATCTGGAGCGCTTTGACGCCAGACTGTATACTGTGGATGCTCCAGGGCATGACCGCAATGATCCTGAGATAACGTCGTTGTCATTCCACGTCGCACCGCCGCACGAAGCACTTGCGGCCGAGCTTGAAGCGCATCCCGAGATTTTGGAGCAGTGGCAGTCAAAGCTTGCCACGGAACCCTGGATTAAGGAGTGGGAGGAACACGGTCTCGTCAGGGGGGCCTCAGCCGATGACAAACGCACAATTCTACCCATCGCCCTTTACATGGACAAGGTTGCTTTCAACAAAAAGGACAGCTTCTTGGGGATGTTTGTGCATTTACTTCCGACGGGTAGGAGGCACATGATTGCGTGCCTGAGAACGTCAGATCTCTGCAACTGTGGGTGCAGCCATTGGTGCTCCGTGTACCCAATATATCAATTTATATACTGGTCATTGAAATGTCTTGCTGATGGTACTTATCCAGAGACCCGCCATGATAAAGAACCTTGGCGTGAAAATGATCAAGAGCGAGCTGCCCTGGCGGGGAAGGCTTGCGGGGTCGGGAAGCGGGGTTCAGAGTGGTCGTTTCTATTGAATTCTCGCATGTGACACGCCCACTGATGAGACGATGATTGTGGATGACGGTGCAGGTGATGACGGCGAGGAGGAGGAAGAGGAGGAGGGGGAGGAGGAGGCGGACGGAGGAAGGACCTATCCCGCCCCTTCCTATCCCCCTGGCCGCGCGCCCTCCCCACCCCTTCCAGCCTGCCCCCTCGACCTTATCCCCCATGCGTCCCCCCGATCCTCTTTCTGTTTCCCCGACAATTACGTACGATAGAAACGATCGCTCTGTAGTGGCGGGGCACTTGCGCATCACATGAGCTTGCCATTGCATCGTTGCGCAGATGAGCATCGCAAGATCGAGAGCGGCTGAACGGCACGAGCGCTGTCTTGCATCGCAGCTGGGCGGAGGTCAGACGGACAGCTGATCGAACGAGGATGAGGGGAATGGGAGGGGTGAGGACGGGGCGGAGGAGGATGGAGGAGGACAATGATGAGGACGAGGACGACGAGGAGACGGAACGCGGGGCGCCTGTATAAACGACCAATCCCCAAATGACCACCCCAATGAACACCCAATGAACTCACAATGAGTTTCGATGAGCTGTCCGGCAAGACGGGCGAGGGGCAGCGGGACGGACACATGCGGGGGGGGCATGAGAACATGGCAAGGAGGAGGCGGGTTGCATTGGGAAGCAGCATGCACGGGGGTATGCGTAAAAGCAAGCAGCAGGGGTTCACCAGGGAGGCCTTGGGTTTCAAAGCAGTCGTGGTGGACTTCAAGGCAGACTGGCCAGAGATGAGCACTGGCATGGGATTCCCTGCGCACAACCATGGCCGCGCACCCTGTTTAATGTGCAGGCAGTCGGCAGAGCAAATCCATACACATGATATCCGACAGCCGATGGGGCCCAACCCTGAAGACACCGAGGAATCCTACGATGCGGAGTGCTCAAAGCATGAAATATATGTTGTAATCGAAAACATTGAGCAGCTCCGAAAAGTTCGTTTCAGGCTTCAACGTAAACATTCCGATCGGGGACGTTCCTTGACGGTCCCGCTCGCGCTCCCAAACCAAACGCCGCTTTTGAAGGGCGACAGGCTCGAACCGACACCAAGCATGCTAGATGCAAACATGCTCGATCATATAACAAAGTTCCCAGCACTTGTCAAGTTCTGGCGGCCTTCCAAAGACGAGCGTACTTACCACAGGAACCCGCTCCTGGATCCTTTGATCGGAACAGGAATACATAGTTTTAGCATCGACGAGCTACATTGTATGCACCTCGGGGTTTTTCAGGCATGGAGTGCGCACGTATTATGGTTGCTGATCACTTGTAACGTTCTCAAAGTAAATGCAGCTTTGCAAGACGACAGAGTGCGGTTGAGCTTACAATTCTTTCGTGTAGAGCTAGACAAGTGGTACGACGACCAGAAGAGAGCACGCCCTACCAAAGACATCACAAGAATAGGGGACCTAACGCCTGGGATGATCGGGACAAAGGCCGCGCCATCACTTTCACTGAAGGCGCAGGAATCAAAATGGTTCACATACTTCATGGTAGATACGCTCGACAAGTATAAAGATAAGATCACCGATGGCAACCATAAAGAAATGTTACTTGCTGCTGGCAGAGCTCTGGTTACGTTCAGCGATACCTTGGATTCGGAGCCAAGACAAATCCCAGTGAATACATGTAAGAAGCTCCAAGACCTAGCCGACCTCCACGTGGGTCTTTGCGAACGAGCGGGCGTCAACATGTACCCCGAGCACCACATGTTTCGACATCTTGCTGCCCAGATCCGCAGGAAAGGAAACCCGCGGTACTACAACACATACTGGGGCGAATCGGTCAACGGAGTCGTCGCAGACCTTGCGAATACAACCCGCAGGGCAAGATTCGAGCGCATGACGTTCAGGAAATATGGCTATCTGAAGTCTGAAGGACCCCCTGGGGCAGCAGCAATTAGGGCAGGCAGCAGGCAAGCACGGCGCAAGGGCGCGTAGGAGGAGGGGGAGGAGGAGGAGGAGGAGGAGGCGGAGGAGAAAGAGGAGCGGAGGATGAGGAATGGAAGGAGGTAGATGAGGAGGATACCAGAGGAGCGAGAAACGCCATCGATCGCCGCCGCAGCCCAGTTGCCCAGGGCTAGCGGGGCAGTCGGGCCAGCTCGCCCCGCGCGCGGCCGAGTGGACCGAAGTTTCCTTTTTCATCCGCTCCCCGCCGTTTCTGTGGGGTGGGCCGAGAGCTCTCCTTCTCTTGCTCCTCCCTCTCCTTCTTCTCCTCCTCCTACCCCTCCTCACCTCCCCTCTCTCGCCCTCCCCCTCCTCGCCCCCCGACCCCATTCGCATTCCCTCCTCATCCCCCCATCCACAGGGGGAACTGAGGCGTTTCTGATTCCTTGCCATTTGGTTGCATCCATCTTCTTCGATCTGGGGCGGACCCTAGCTCGAATATAGACGCAGCCAGGGGGCGCGCGAGGGCGAGTCGGGAGGGCCGCCCCCGACAGGGCGCAAAGCTCAGACGGGCAAAGATACGGTGACGGCTTCTAAAGGATGGTGTTGATGTTCCAGCAAGGCGGCCACTTGGGCATCCCAGAGACCACCCAGAAGCTGGCTGCTGCGCTCCTGGAGCAGGGCGAGTTTGACCTGAGCCCTGCCGAGTGGGTGACCGTCGCCGCGCGTGTCGCGAACGAGCACATGGCCCACGTGCCTGTTCGCGACCTCGACCTCCTTGAGGCCCTCCTCCTCCTACTCCTCCTCCTCCTCCTCCTCCGTTTCCTCCTCTTCCTCTTCTCCTCGCCACCCCATCCTTGCCCTTCTGCTCCTCCTTCACCTCCTCCTCCTGCTCCTGCTGCTGCCCCCCCCCCCCTCCCCCTTGCCTCCTCGCCCTCCTCCTCCTCCGCCCGCCAGGTCTGCAGCGGTTGCGGGAACGAGGCGAATGCGTTCCGGGAACACGGCTGCGAGACGCGGGGGTTCGATCGCGAGGGCAGGGATGCCACGGAGGAGCGGGCCCCAGGCGATGAGCGGCCCAATGGGCCTCCAATGAACCCTCAATGGATGCCGCGGAGGAGCGGACCCCAGGCGATGAGCGGCCCAATGAGCCGCCAATGAACCCCCAATGAGCCCCAATGAGCTCATTGGAGCTCATTGGGAGTTCATTGGCGACCCATTGGGTCGCTCATCGCCTGCCCCCTCCCGTGCCGCCCTCCAGCCCCTCCCTCTCCCCCCCCCCCCTCCCCTCCCTTCCCCTCCTTCCCCGTCCCTTCCCCCCGTGATCCCTCCACCCTTCCCTTCGGGACTCCTCCCTCCCTCGATCTCTCCCTCCCTCGCTCCTCCCTTCATCCTCACTCCTTTCGCCCTCCGAGCCCTCAGGATCTGACGTCTCTTGCTGGCATGATCCACGTGGGATTGCTGGCCCTTCGGATCAAGCCGAAGGGGTTGATCACAATCGCGCTGGAGTGCTCGACATGGCCCGGTTTCACCAGCAACCACACGTACGGCCGCACCAACGACAACATATATAGCCATGAGGAAATGGACAAAGTGAAAGAGGCCAATATGTGCGCAGGCGTGGCCGCGTGGCTCATCTTCTTGCGTCGCGCTAGGGATGTGTTCTACGTTCTAGAGAAGCCCGTGTAAAGTAGATTGTACTCGCACCCTGCGATCGAGTCTTCGTTGGACATCTGCGGCGCGGGCCAGGCGCTCACGTATTTGGGAGTTTTTACGGACGACCAGACAATCCCCAAGGCTGTGCACCTGGCGGCCAGTTTGCCGAAACACACCTGGGCCCACTTCACGAGGCCCAAACCCAAGAAGGAGCTGAGCACGGATCAGAAGAGCAAGTTCCACTTCGTCACAAAGGAGGGCTGGGTGTGCTCGGGCAATCAGTTGAAGAGCACGCAGTACTACCCGCCCGCCTACTGCCACGCGCTGCACGCCGCTTGGGGGGAGGCCCGCCTTGGCGAGAAACAGGGGCCCAAGAGAGCCATCGAGTGAGATCAGACGAGCCTGCTGAGGTGGACGCAGAAGGATAGCTCCAGGACGAAGAGACGCAGGTGAACTTTGGGTACTGGGGATGGCCCACCCTCCTCCTTATCCACCCTTCTCCGTGCCCTCGTCCTCGTCCGCGTCGTCGTCGTCGTCTTCCTCCTCCTCCTCCTCTTCATCCTCCTCCTCGTTCATATCCTCGCCTCCTATCCCCATCATCCTCTTCCCCCTCCTGCTAGGTCACCTTATCATCGCCTCCTCCTCCTCCTCCTGATCCTCGACCTCGTGCTCCTTCTCCTCCTCATCCTCGCCTCTTCCACCTCCTCCCTCCTCCTCGTCCTCATTCTCGCCTCTTCCACCTCCTTCCAACTCCTCGTCCGCGTCGTCGTCGTCGTCCTCCTCCTCCTCCTCATCCTCATCCTTGTTCTCATGATCGCATCCCCTCCCCGTCATCCTCTTCCCCCTCCTGCTCATCACCCATATCCTTGCCTCCTCCTCCTCCTCCTCCTCCAACTCCTCCTCCTCCTGACCCTCGTCCTCGCACTCCCTCTCCTCCTCATCCTCGCCTCTTCCACCTCCTCCTCCACCTCCCCCGTCTACCCCGTAAGAAAACTCGTAACGAAGGGAGGTGATGCGGTACCGCGTCGGCGAATTCATCGTGATCCTGCCACAGGCGCGGGCCACTAGGCGGGGCAGGGAGGGCACTGGACGCCGATTGCTTGATTCGTACATCGCGAAGGGCACCGCTCATTGGAGGTCATTGGGGGTTCATTGGGACTTCATTTGGCAACTCATTGCTACTCCGTGCTCTCCATGCCCCCTCCTCCCTCCGACTCCTGTCTCCTCCACTCAGCTCTTCATTCATCCCCCCAGCCGTTCAATTTCCGACCATGGACAGGGAGCGCGGGGAGGGCGGGGGGGCATGGGAGAGGGGGGGGGGCGCAGGTAGCTGATATTTCGAGAGCTGCATTATCGGCCACCACTTGCTGATGGCAAATTACCTTGCATGGCCCCGAGGGGAGGGCCGCCTCCTCTTCCTCCTCGTCGTCATCGTGTTCATGTTCCTCTCTCACTCCCTCCCAGTATCCCTTCTCCCCCCGCCCTTCCACCCCCCTACCCTCTCGCCCCTCGCCTCCCAGCCTCATCTGGAGAGATTGCAGGGGGGCGCGGCATGGAGGGGGGGTGCGAGTATTTCAAGCGCTGCGTTATCGGCCAGGTGGTACCGCTCGTATCCGACGACCTCGTATCGGGCGGCCCCGAGGGAGGGCGCCGCGACGACGGGGCGACGACGGCGTCCTCTGCCTCAACTATCTTCCCCCTCCGTCTCGTCTTACTAATCCTCCTTTCCCTCTCTCTCTCTCCGCTGGCCGCGTTCCTCTTCCTCCTCCCCTCTCACCTTCCTTCCTCCGCGCCTCTCCTTTTCCTCCCATCTTTCAGCAGCTTGCGAAATGGGCTCCGCATGGAGGGGGGGTCTTCGTCGCCTGAGCTGGGGTACACCAGCGCCGCGCTGCGAGCGCGGCGGGCGACGACGATGACGACGGCGACGATGACGATGACGACGACGACGACGGCGACCGCGGTGGCGACGACGACGACGACGATGACGACGACGATGGCGACAACGACGACGGCGACGACGACGACGGCGACGACGACGATGGCGGACGCGGTCACGACGACGACGATGACCCCGTCGGCGGGCGGGCCGAGAGCGCGCCGGACTGCGCGCGCCGCGCGCGCCACCGTGGCACCGAGCCTCCGTGGTAGACAACGGGGGAGCAGTAAAGCGGAGAAATGATAGTAGGCACCAGGGCTGGCTCTCGTGAGCCCCTCGCTCACTCGCTCGCTCGCGCGCTCGCTCGCTCGCTCGCTCGGGGGCCGTTTTAGGTCAAGCCCTTTCCAGCAATGAGTGCCGAGCCCCCCCCCCCCAGAGCCCCAACCTGGGGCAGACGTGCGCATTTGGCGCGACGTCTCCGATGGCTGGTGCATCGTGTGGAGGGCCCTCGACGGCAGTATCAAGCAGCGTGGAATGTGGGAGATGGACCCTCATAGGAGAGGAAACGAAGAGGCACGGGGCGGATAGGAGGGCGAAGGGCAGGGGGAGATAAGAGAGTGGGGGAGGGAGGGGGGGAGGGTGATAGGGAGGGAGAGAGAGAGAGAGAGAGAGAGAGAGAGAGAGAGAGAGAGAGAGAGAGAGAGAGAGAGAGAGAGAGAGAGAGAGAGAGAGAGAGAGAGAGAGAGAAGAGAGAGAGAGATAGAGAGAAAGCGAGAGACAGAGAGAGAGAGACAGAGAGAGAGAGAGAGAGAGAGAGAGAGAGAGAGAGAGAGAGAGAGAGACCGGACAAGTAGGCGGACCAGGGTCCGTCCGCGAGGCGCACTGCGGTGCGACAACCCGCAAAACACTATTAGCGGCGGTGCAGCCTTAAGATACGAGGGCGGGCAACAGACCCCCTCCCCCGGCGCATTGCGTCTGAAGCTACGGACGGCGGACAGACTGTGAAGATCTCACGTGTCAGACCGCGTGACGAAGAAGGCCCCAACAAGAAAGGCGACGTGCGGACACGTGGCTAGGCGGCTTGGCAGACCGCCAGTTGGGCGCTTGGCCGCAGCGCGGCGCGCAGGGACGGGGCACCCCCCGCCCCCACGCCCTGACACCGTGGACGCGGGGCCACGCGTGCACACGGGCAGGCAGAATGGCGGAGATTAGCGCGGGGCTCCAGGCGGAGCGCCGCGGAGCGATGACAGCATAGCATGGAGGGTGAGTGGCGGCGCAGCACCATCGGGCGGGGGTGTAAGCAGCTCGGCGAAGGCACGACCGGCGCGGTGGAGGCGCTGGAGCAAAGGGCCTTGACGGGCTTGGGCAGCGGCAAGGTCGGCGGCGAGAGCTGCGCACCTCTGCTGGAGAGCGGCCGTAGACTGGGACAGCTCGGCTTCGCGGTCGGTGCGGGGCGGCTGCTCTGTGCCCGCGGCCGCGGGCCTCGCGGCGGGGACGAGGTCATCGGTGCGCCTGGCCAGGTGGTGGACCAGCGCGGTGCGGCGGTCCGTGCGCTGGCGGCCGTCGCCGTGGCGAGGCGACTGGAGGGTGTCGCGCGGTCCCAGGGCTGAAGCCGCTGGGGCCACGCCCCATGAGGACGGAGGAGCCGCAGCCTCGCAGCCTGCAACAGTAGGAGCGTGGACGGGGCGCGACGGCCTGACTGGCTCAGTGCCCTGCGGGGGGGCTGAAGCCGCCCCCGCGGGCTGGCGCTGGTGGGGGGACGGGGTTGGTGGCACGGAGGGACCAATCATGATGCCGTGCGAGGGCTCAGAGGTCGGCCGCGTGACCGGGTGGCGACTCGATGAAGCGGCATCGTCGGCAGCGTGGGGTGTCGGCGGGACGTCGTCTATGCTGCCACCCAATCCGAGGGGATCATAACAGTCCTCGTCGGCGTCTTGGAGGTGAGCGACGTCATCATGTGGGTGCGGTGCCGCTCTCGGTGGCGGAGTCGAGTGGGATCATCCAGGAAAGTCCCCCGCCGAAGCCGAACGGGTCGTCCTCCTGTTCGTCGTACATCGCCCGTTGGGCCTCGGCCCAGAGCTCGTCCGGGTTCTGCGGGATGTCTGGTCCAGCCGCGGGTGGTGCCTGGTCCGACAGCAGGGGGTTCGGTTCCATTTTGCTGAGTTCAGCCGCTGTAAACCCAGCCCTGCGGTGTGGGAGCGGCAGAGTACGGTGTCTGCGCTCGTAGATGGCGACAGCGACCCCGTGAAGCACGGTCGCTTGGCGATGTCGGGTTTTGGCAGCTTCAACGATGTCGTCGGGGAGGTTGTGCGTGCGTGCCGCCGCTGTGGCAAGGGCGTCGGCCTGACGGTTGAACTCCTCCGCGATGGGCCCGATGAGCCCAAGGTCGATGCCCAGGTCTCCCAGGTGGCTGGCGACTTTTTCGACGCGAAACATGTCGGGCTTGGCCATGACACATCGGTGAATCATTGCCCAGAGCTCCGCGTGCGTGCCCTGCGGCGCTGGATGTCCGTCGATGATGCTTTGGAACCCATCGACCACCGCCTGGTTGTCCACGAAGACGTGCACGGGCCGTTCGGCACACGCCGTAAGGTGGACGATGGCAAGGGTCTCCGCAACCTGGGCGTTCTGCGTTAGGCCGTGAACGCGTGCACTGTAGTTCATGCGGTGGTCGATGCCGTAGTAGACGCCGTAGCCCGCTCGTGCTAGGAGTGGGATGGCTTGGTTGGTGCACGCACCGTCCGTGGCAGCATAGACCCATGTCCATCCAGTGTCGTTGTCAAGGTAGGTGGTGTAGGTGTCCTGGGCTGACGCCGCAGGATCACCCTCAGGGGGGGGCCGCGGGATGGGCTGTGGCAGCGGGTCCCTCGCGAGGTCGGCCTGCAGGTCGAGGAGGGCTGGGTCTTCGTCGAAGAGCCCGCAGTGTCTTGTGTGCGGCGGAAGACGGGCCCACTGGTCGTCACTGATGAGGGTGGTGAGAGGAACTCTTTCTCGGGCCCAGCACTTACAGTCGCGGACAGTGTGCTCCTGAGTTTCCTCTTCCTCGTCGCAGTAGCGGCACATGGGGCTGGGGTCTGCCGACGTGTTGGATCGGGATCGTCGCTGTTGGGTGCGGTCCCCGCCCGACAGGTAGTTCAGGAGGAGCGCCAGCTGCCAGGCAGTGCATTTGGCTGCTCCTTTGGTTCGCGCGAGCCACGTGCTGGCGAAGAGGTCAAGGCCCTGTCTGACCGAGGCGAGGTAGCCAAGGTCGTGTCGCCGTGGCTTGATCTTCCGCAGAAATGCCCTGCGTTGTGAGGCCCGCAGCATGTGCAGGAAGGCGTTTTGGGGTAGATTCAGCCAGCTGATCGGGCAGCCCCAGTCATCGTACATGATGCCAAATGTGGGCCAGGTCCATCGGAGCTGCTGGAGCGACTGGACGAGTCGCCCGACGGGTCCTCCACCAAACAGGGTCTGGACGTGGTGTTGGAGG